ACATAATTGAAGTATATTATTAATGCTTACCACAACGCAACCGTAATTCCCAGCATCCACCCTCTTTTGAAATGGAGTCCGTTAGCAGCAGCATTTCATACTGCAAATTACTAACCTGATGGGGGAAAAACAAAAAACAGTGTGTGTATTTTAAAATCGGAGCTCTTTATAGTAAAGTTCATAGTCACAGCGACTCTGGAAAACAAACAAAAACAAAACAAAACACAAAAACAATGTTTGTTGGGTTTAAATTATTTTCAGTATGACCTCTGAGACCTACCAGATCAGGATTGGCCCAGTGACCTTTGAGGGCAGCTGACACCTTGGCAATGATCAGATCGTTCATCTGCTGAGTGGCTTCTGGGTGATCTCTGAAGCAAAAGATAGAGAGACAAGGAAAAAAAAAAAACATGTAAGGATACAGGAGACCAAATGACAATGAAACACCATTATATACAGCGTGTATTAACATAGAAAGTTAAAAAGCAAAAAGCTGAGATTTCAATGTTATCGTTCCAACAACTTACAATACTATCATTGCTTATATGTGGAACTGAAGTCAGGCAATTAATTGTCACATGAAAATATGTGAAGGAAAGGACATACCTAGTGAGGAGACAGACCAGCTGGCGCACCTCCTCCCTCATGGCTGCTGTACCTCGACGCAAGTTATACTCAAACAGCTCACGGATGAGACCCTGAAGGACTAGGATCTGCCGAAGGGCTGGATTGGTGGCCAGTGCGCGGAGCAGTGTGATGCAGTGACCTGTAACAGCTGAAGCACAGCCGTAACACTTGGTTGAGGATGTATGGCCGCATCCCAGCACAGAGAGGGCGCGGTACTGACTGGCGGTGAAGGTGGGCTGGTGGCTACTGCTGCTCCGAGATGACTTGGTGGCAGCCTCTCTCTGTTGTAGGTCATACTCCAAGAGCTCTTTACGAGATGCAAGCACTTTCTGTAAACAAAGAAGGAAGGGGCACAATTGTATGAGAGCAGGAAGAAAACAAGGGTACAGATATCAGGAAAGTTAACTGCATTTTCTTCCTAACCTGTATAATCTTGGAGAGTTCATCAAATGAGGTCTTGCAATCTCCACTGTATTCCTGAGCCAGTTGCTGAATGTATCTGTTCACATTAGCAGAGGATGCACCAAGTCCTGCTCCTGCTCCAGTGTCATCCTGAAAGAAATAAAAGACAAGAGAAAATACTGTTAGATAAAACTGTAGAAATAGAGCTAAAATAGAGACTGAAGAAAAACATAAATGATCTCTGCAGCATGTGCAGGTTGCATTAGTACAAGCTGTGCTTATTTAGGTCAAGTGCTCTTTCAGTCCCTCTTGACTGACCTGGGGCTTCTCCGGTGCTGCCTCATTGACTTTAGACAAGAGACTCTCCAACTGAGGCCGGTGACCCATCAGCTGGTGGTAGACCCGGTCAGCTTTGTCCAACAGGGTGTTAATGTTGGTCACAGCCTATGCAAAAAGGGACAAAACATTTTGTAGTCTGACTTTTAGGAATGGTAAGCCTATTTTTAACCAATTCCTTTAAATGCTTTTCTTGTCCTAGAAGAGGCTTCTTTTTTTTTTCTACCTTTTTCCTGTCTTCCTCATTTTCAATAGGATCCACAGCACAACATGGTTTAGCATACAGCATGAAGTCAAATCGGGCATATTTGCAGAAACCACAGGCGTTGCACAGGAAGGGGTCTTTTTCGTCATAATTGATAGACCTGAAAAGTGTCGACCATATAGTAAAAATCCAATAAATCTAAAAGTGTCTTCAATTCTTTAAGAACCGCAGAGGAAACACAGGGCTCACCTGCACTTGTGGCACTGATACACATTCTCACCGCAGTTGCCACACACACCGGGGTTGGCCGGTACGGAAGCACTGCAGCGTGGACACTGCAGGGTCTCAGTGGAAGCCTGGTAGTTCTCGTAGAAATCGGAAAACTCAATCATCAAGTTGGAAGCGACGATAGGTAAGGGAAGGTCAATCTTTACTTCTGTTTGTCCCGGGGTGAGCTGAACTTTCTTGGCTTTGTGCCAACGAGCAGGCCTAAAAAGAAAAGAAAAAAGACCGTAAAGTTAAGAACTCCTAATTAATGCCCAAAAAGTAAATTAAAATGAAACTTCCAAGTTGATACTACATCTTTGCACCTTAGAATTTACCATAATAATATGAAAACTAAAAGCAAGAAAGAACAGCAGCTCTTTGCTGACATACTTATTCTTCAGCTCCACGATCGCCTGGACTGTCCTGTTGTTGTAATAGAGATTGATGGTGCGGACCATTTTGGTGCGTTTGAGGTCACCAATCTTCACTGTGACTTTGCTGATGGTGTGGCTACCAATGAGCTTGACAACCTGTTGTGTGGTCGTATAGCGGGTGTCTACTTTGATGGATGACAGTTTTATATTCTGGTGGATGAAAATAAAATAAAAATTAAAACTATGCTTAAAACAATACTGAGAACTGTTTATACCTACGTTTAGAGGATGTTTCTATCAACATAACTGTATTTCATCATTGTTTAACTAACCAGCTATGTTACACAGTTAATACAAAGAGTTTTGCATTTGGCAGGGGGTTTTCAAATTCTGAAACCAATACCATCTCTCTTTAAGCCTTCCCCTGTGAAATTTACTAGTATGTAAAAATTATTTTAATTAGCTTGACTGCCTGTGCACTTTTTTAAAAGAATATGCCTGTTGTGTGAGGGTGTGTTTCACTCACGGAGAAGGGAACTTCTGGATTGTTGCACACCAAGCAGGGGTCACTTTCCAGATAAAAGCCATCAAACTCCACTAATCCAGAGAGTGTGCTGCAGAAAAAAAACACATGTAATTTTATGTAGATGATGCCCAATAGTTGCATTCTCACTGTTATAAGATTGAATGTTTCGATTTCAGTATCTATCAACATACTTGTATATATTGGAGTTGGGGTGATTTGTCAGGATATGGTTCTGTGCTCTCAGGATTTCCACAGCCTTTTGGGAATACTCCTTCAGCTGGAGAAAAATACATAAATAAATAAGAGAAACAAAACAATTTCATCTTCTATCATAATGAAAGTGGTGTCTATGGTCTGTAGAGACAAATAAAAACACAAGCATCAGGATATGAACCCTTGTGTAATACTTTAAGAACAAAAACTAAGCGTTTAATTGTAAATACTGAATTATTCCTCTTTGAATTGATATAGAAAATAGCCAAACTATAATTTTATTTTAAAAAAAAAACTGCATGAAATACAGAAAAGGATTTTAAAGAAAGAAAAAAAGAAAAGAAAAAAATCTAACCTTTTTCTCAGTTTGAGGGGTTTTGAGTGAGAAGTAACCAAGTAGGTCGACAAACTGGGCAGCTTTACGGCCATATGCAGGAAGCTCTGGCCAGATGGCCCAAGTCAGTTCAAGCAGCAGCTCCTGCTGAGATTTACTAGAGTTCCTGCGGAAGTACAAACAATATCAGGTTGTCCATACATGTATTCAATTGTTAAAAAGTGATGCAATAAGCCTAAGCTTTTGTTAAATAGACTAATCTTTAGACCAAACTACCCAAGGTACTAGGTGTATGTTTCTACAATACCTGTAGATATGCAGCGCCAAGCAGTGGGCTTGCCAGCGCACAGCAGATGAGTTTGACTCCAGCAAGAAACAGCGTAGGAACTGAATGAGCGTCTCCTTGTCTGCAAATTTGTTAAGCTGACTGACCAGAGCCATACAAAGCTGATCCTCCTGGCTACCAACACCATCCCCTGTGGTCAGTTGACAATATACAATTAAATTCAGGATACTCTCATCGACCAATCATTTTACACCACTTTTACATCTTGTTCAGGTTCAAAGGAGCACTGGAGCCCAGTTCAGTACCCAATATGTGCTTCTACGCTAGTTGATTTTCGAAGAAGTACAACTAGTCATTTTTTATTTTCTCACCATCTTTTTCTTTCTCTTTGTCTTCTTTTTTGCTCTTTTTACTAGAAGACTTGCTCTGAGAGGACTGAGAGGCTCCTGTCTGTCCAGCACTACCAGACCCTCCGCCTGAGAATGAGGATGAAGTAGAGGAGGAGCTGGCCAGCACCTTGCTGCCACACAGAGCACAGGAGAGGAGTTGCAGCAAAACTGGGGAAACGCCCTCATCTACCAAGAAACTGACTTGGAGCAAGAAGTACAAGACAGCTGTATGGAAAAAAAGAAAAGCAAAGACAGAGACATAAATAGTTAGTACTTGTGTAAAACATTTGTTGCTTCAAAAATAAATAAGTAATCACAAACAACTTACAGTCATCCTTCATGCAGAACTTCTGCCAGTTGATTGTCCTTTGAGTGGCAATTTCAGCACAAGCTTTCAGGTGTTCCATCTACAAAAATAAATAAAGCAATTTACAGCAAAGCATAGCAAAGAAAAAAAAACCCATACATATACATATATA